CTATCAAGCAGCATTACTTGCTGAGAAAGAGTTCGTGAAAGAAAGAATAATCAATGCAGCAAACTGTTGTCTTAGTTTAAGAAACATCAATGGGGAAAACTATACCCATATAGTCAATACATCATTGTTCATCAATTGACGAATATAACTTTCTTAATGTTTAATGACTTATTACTTAGAATACATATTACATATTTATCAGTCATTTACTTTCCACAATTTCATACTCCTTGATTTCCTTCCCAATCCCCTCTCCAAATTCCTTATGCATTAAAAAAAATGAGATAGCTAGACAGATAGATAGATACTTGTTTTGAGTAATAACTGGTTAGCACTGAGCCATGCATATGAAAAATACTTTATTTGAAGCAGAAGATCATAATATATAGACCTTATTACGTCATTAACTTCTGTTAGAGACTATCAAAGAATATCTGCTACCTCCTTTAATGCAAAGGGGTTTTCAATAACACCTCTCATAGTGTTTCTAAGAGTTACCCACAAACCATCTCCAGAAGCATTTGAAGCCATCATTAAATATGCATTACTTATTTGGGTTAAAGCCCACAAGAGTGGAGCTGAGAAATCTGCAGATATACCCAGCCCTGGGTGATTATTTTCTGTAGCATCTTGCATTATACACAATTGTGTGCTTTTATGTCTTATAAAAGATATTTTACTTGCATATTACCGTATCTTGAAGAGAAAGTTTGTATCACTTCCAGATGCACCTCACTAAAACACAGAGAAGCTATATATGCTCAAGATCAATTAGCACAATGCCAGGTATGCATTTATTCATTCATTCAACATGAATTTGTCAAGTGCTGACTAAGTTCCAGACTGGTCTAGGCATAGAGATACAGCAGCGACCAAGCAAAGACTCTTACAAGGCATATATTCTCCTGGGGAGAAGTTTAGGCAGCCAGTAAGCATTACACAAGAGTAATTAGGTAGAGCCACGCCCCCAGACTCTTAATTGAGTGCTTTCTCATGCCACCAAATGGTTGGTTCACTAACTGTAATGCATCGTATCATGTAGCATGCATAAGCAGATGCAAATACAATAAAAATCAGGATTCATTCTGCAGGCAGTATGGAGAGTGGATCGAGGCATCAGAGTATAAGGAGTAGAGCAAACATGAGTTCAAAGTCTGCCCTCAGCACTTTATATACCAAGGCTGCAACCTGGACAAGTTATCTAAGCTAGTTACAGAATTTATCAATACCTATCAATACCAATTTATCAATAGCCCTGGAAGGATCAGTGTGAGGATCAAGCATGGGTCTAGCAGAATGTAGGCCCGTGTTACTGGTTCTCTCTTTCCCCAAATCAAATGTGAATCTCATCTGACTATACCACTGCATACCTAACCTACAAGGCTAGATTTTAGATTTACTGGAAGTCAACTGTCATTAGTTTGCTTAAATTTCATCATAAAGACTGCTTTCACAAATTTGATCATATATTATATACTTAGATGATGCTCTTCTGGGATAAAAAAAGGCAATATTATCCCATTATTTAAAAAAAAAACATGCATTTTGAGAGGTTTTTTTAATCAAAATACTACTCTATACTGTGGGACTATCACTCATTTTCTAGGCAGAATATGTTAGATCATCAGGGGTGCCTGGGTGGCTCAGAGTGTTGAGCCTCTGCCTTCGGGTCATGGTCTCAGGGTCCTGGGATTGAGCCCTGCATCGGGCTCTCCGCTCAGTGGGAAGCCTGCTTTCCCCCTTTCTCTCTGTCTGCCTCTCTGCCTACTTGTGATCTCTCTCTCTGTCAAATAAATAAATAAAATCTTTAAAAAAAAAAAAGAATATATTAGATCATCGCTAATAAAAATGTGTATGTATACTAATGCGTCATCTCTTCTTATTGAAATATTGAGTAATATAATAAGTCTCTAAACAGTAAGTCCAGCTCCCACATCCTACCTCTCCAACCTAATTTTCTCCCTTCTTTGCAGGCTCACAACAACCCAGTGACACTGGCATTCCTTGGCTCCTCAAATCTACCAGATGCCCCAGCAGTTAAACACCATGCATGGCGAGGTCCTCTGGTCACCAGCCTTATGCCTAACTGGGTCCCATCTTAAATATCTGGTTCTCAGAGAAGCCCTCTCTGACCCTCCATCCTGGCGAGGTCAGGCTGCACCGTACAGGGTGATATGGTGAAGCCTCCGGATAACGATAAATGAAGCCTGGGTTCCCATCAGTCATCTAACAAAATGGAGTTATGCTACAGCACAAATACACAGCTGTGCAGGTCGATAAAATTTCACAAGCAGCACGATATAACTGACAATAATGCACCTGTGATGTTAGCCAGGGCTTTCAGAAGTGACCCCTCCTCTGCCATGACACAGAATGCGTTGCTGATAACAGGGAGTTCTATTTTTTTTTTTTTGACATATAATGTATCATTTGCCCCAGGGGTACAGGTCTATGAATCATCAGTCTTAAACAATTCACAGCACTCACCACAGCGCATACCCTCCCCAGTGTCCATCACCCAGCGACCCTATCCCTCCCCCCACCCCAGCAGCCTTCAGTTTGTTTCCTGAGATTAAGAGTCTCTTATGGTTTGTCTAATGGGGAGTTCTATTAAGGGAAACTCCTGACATAGCCCAATTCTCCTCATTTCTGCTTTTATCCCTGATTGTCAGACTGCATTTTGCAGAGAACTTTGGAAGTATGTTAATGGTCTGAGGCACACTGTGACATATGTTAATAGTATATCGAGCCCTTTTTCAGGATTCTTTTTATTTGTGTCTACTGTTTATTTTCTGTTAATGTTTGTTTTCTCCACTTAAGGATTGTGCCTACCCCATCGCCCACTGTATCGCCAGTGCCTGCCAGTTCCCAGTATACAGGAGTATGTGCAATGACCAGTCACTGGATCGATGATTTAAGACATAAGGGTGTGTCCATGTGGAAGAAACATGGTGTATGGAAGTTCAGTTTACTTAACACATGTAAAGTCTATAAAATAGTGCTGGGTACCTAGTGAGCACTGAGTCAACGCTCTCATCATCTACCAAGTAGCACAATAGAAGAGAGAGGGCGTATGAGTGACTGACAAATGACAAGGCTGAGCATGCGCTGTGTGGTTAACCCTGTCAGAGCAGGGCTTCACGCAGTAAAGGAACCACAGTAACCCTTCCCAACAGGGGGTTCTGAGTTAATTCATTTTAACATGGAAATGTGCAACTTTAACAGCCCAAGATCTTTTCACATATTCATGGCTGAGTTCAGCACTTTCAACAATCCTGTCTTATACATATAAGCACTTCTGTGGGATAGAGCAAAGAAAGAGATCCATGCTCCATTCTCTCAGCGGATGGAAAGAAATCTGGTATCCTTAAATATTTTAAGGAAAGGTCATACATTTTTTTCCTAGACTTATGAAAACGAAACAGACAATGAAAGTACAAATACCTATATCTCAGGTCACTGAAATCCCACCAGCTGCTTTAAAATTAATAAAAAGAAGTTAAAACTCGAGGCCACTCTGCCTCTGCTCATCCCAGAACTGCAACTGTGTTCCCTAAAGAAATCACTGATGCAAGCACTTCAGGGAAGGAATACCTAAGTGGAAAAAGTTTTTACGCCTACCAGTCCAAGCTGTTTTGAAAATGGATGCCTTTCATTATTTTTATTTATTAGGCTCTCACACTTTCCTTTAACTTTCATGCCATTCTTACTGTTTTCTCAAAGAGTCCATTTCTAAGAGTCTTCCATCTAAGATAACACATTTTAGCCATCTGTATACTTTCTAGGAAAGTTCTAACCTATTATCAAAAAAAGGGATTGCTATAAAATCAAATAATTCCCCCACTGTTAGAACCTAATGTATGCAACAATCAGACACAACTCCCCCTAAGGTCTTAAGTAACAAATTTTAACATACATAACCACTTATTAATATTGCAGAGGGAAAAAGAGACCCTCCACTGAGTACATATGCCACATGAAGGTACTCTGACAGAAATGGGCATCTGCCATCTGGTCTTGTCAACTATTCCACTTCACAGAAAGAGTATTCATAAGCCACACCCAGGGCCTATACCAAGCTTGAATGATTAAATACAAATGCAAAATTATAATACAAAAACAGATCAAGGGTTCATCAATTGGTCTGTTGCTTCTTGCTAAAAAAAAAAAAAAAAAAAAAAAAAAAAAAAAATTATTATTTTCCAGAGCTACCCTACAACCCAGCAATTGCACTACTGGGTATTTACCCTAAAGATACAAATGTAGTGATCCGAAGGGGCACTTGCACCCAAATGTTTTCAGCAGCAGTGTCCACAATAGCCAAAAAATGGAAAGAGCCTAGATGTCCGTCAACAGATGAATGGATAAAGAAGATGTGGTATATATATACAATGGAATACTATGCAGCCATCAAAAAAGAAATCTTGCCGTTTGCAATGAAGTGAATGGAACTAGAGGGTATTATGCTTAAGCAAAATAAGTCAATCAGAGAAAGACAATTATCATATAATCTCTCTGATGCAAGGAATTTGAGAGGCAGGGCAGGGCATTGTGGGGGGGAAGGAGAGAAAAATGAAACAAGATGGGACCAGGGAGGAAGACAAACTCAAACCATAAGAGACTCTCAATCTGAGGAAACAAACTTAAGGCTGCTGGGGGTTGGGGGAGGGATAGGGTGGCTGGGTGATGGACACTGGGGAGGGTATATGCTATGGTGAGTGCTGTGAATTGTGTAAGACTGATGATTCAGAGACCTGTACCCCCGAAACAAATAGTACATTATATGTTAATAAAAAAAATTGTTATTCTTCCATGGAGCCGCATTGACATTTAACCTCAAGTACATTTGTAATAAACATTTCCATTTTCAATAAGATTTCACTTTCCCTAGTTTCTTTCTAAAATTAACTCAAATTTAAGCTTATAGGTTAGTGAATAAGAAAATCCCTTTGGAATAAACAGGGGGGAAATTTATGAATATTCTAAAGAATGATACCTACCTCAGGCCCTGTGATATGCATCAGACCAGAAACAGCAGAGGCAACAGCATCATAACCAGCTCGCTGAGACAGTGGGCCTGTCTGGCCATACCCTAAAATGAGAAGAATGGACATAGTCAACAGCATCATGCAAGGAGAGCAAGAGTACGATGACATGTTTGTAGCCAGAAATCCTGAGCAATTTATTACTATGAGATCAACAGTACCCCTTGAAAAGGAAGCAAAAAAAATTATTCATGATCTTATATCCCAAAACGTTGCAAACTGGTAACTTGAGGGCAAGATCCCACTGCATAAATGTTCTGTCTGGTCTGAAGAGGGTCCTAAAATGTTTTCATTTAATTTCCAACATTTTAAAAAAGCAGGAGATAGCACATAAAATGCAAATTTCTTGAAAAATCAGAAAATAGTTCAAAACTAGGCCCACACAACAATCAATTAGAGTTAATAACAGCTCTTCCTTTTATACAGGGAAACAAATTCTCCAATTTGCCTTTTCTCCACGACTCTTACTCCTTAATGCCTGAGCCTGATTCACTTATTTAATCTTGCCTCCCAGCTCCATTCATATATGCTACTCTTATTCTATACAAAACAATAACAAAGTAAAATAAAATAGTGTTTCTCTGGATTCTGTTTACATTTTTCATATGTGTGTGTGTATGTGTGTGTGTGTATACATATATATATAAATGATGACTAAAAATTATTTCTAAAGATTTTATTTATTTATTTATTTGACAGAAAGAGAGAGAGAGCATGAGCAGGGGACGGAGGGAGGAGCAAAGAGAGAGGAGAATCAGGTTCCCCGCTGAGCAGCGAGCCCAATGCAGAACTAGCTCCCAGGACCCTGGGATCATGACCTGAGCTGAAGTCAGATACTGAATCAACTGAGCCACCCAGGTGCCCCAGCTAAAATTTTTTATCATAAACAATATGATTACATAACCTAACAGTGCTTTTTAAGATTACAAAAAGAAAGTGAAGGTATTACTTTTTCTTTTCTCTTTCCTTTTTTTGGGGGGCCCTCAGCAAAAATCAAAAGAACACAATAGTTTCTCCTGCTCTCTTCCAGTCCTGGCACTTACTGTTGAATGGAAAAGATCATTTCAGGTGCTACATGTATCTGTCTCCATATCCTATGGTATCAACCAGAGAGAGGACACATGAAATAGCCATCAGCTATTAGCTGAAATGTCCTGCATACCTCACTTTAGAAAGATCAAAAAGAGGTACCTCGGGGCCTTTGCTTGCTTCTCCAGGCAGCTGGAATGCTCTCCCTCCATTTCACGCCATATATCCACACACCTCACACTCTCTCTCACATCCTCCAAATCTGCACTCAAACATCTCCTTACCAGAAAGACCTTCCCCAGAGAACACTTGTAAAAGAGCACTCTCACTTCTCACTTTGAATCCCCCTTACATTTGTCTCTGTAGCACTTATTACAAGATATATAATACAGCTATGTGTTTCTTGATTTATTTTCTGTCTCCTCTCCTACCAAAATCTGTGCTCCAGAACTTTTTTCTATTTGATTCACTGCTGTAGTCACAGCATCTAGAGAAGAATTTAATAACACTCACTGATAAAAATGAATGAATGAATGAATACTTGTCATATAAAACAATTTTAATAAAACAATCTATAAATTAATAAAAAAAACTAAAGAAGTTTTTGTTTTGTTTTGTTTTTTACCAAAATGGCAATATGGGAGCTTTCTGGATTGTCCCTCTCCCACAGACATGACAAATGTACAGCGCCACGTGGAGCAATTCCCTCTGAGAGAAATCCAGAACTATCTGTTTGACTCCTATGCATTGGTGATAGAGAAAATACCCACATCTAAATGGGTGTTTAAACCCCACTCCAGGCACAACACCATATATTCAGGAGGGAACCCCCAACTCATAGCTTCTCCTCAAGGAGTGAAGGGTTTGGACCACATGTTTTGGCCCAACTTTAAAGGCTCCCACATGAGGAGCAGGCCCCGAAGTACCTAGCTGTAAGACCAAGCAGAGCTTACATTCACGAGTCCCGTTGGACCATAACAAACAGAAAAAGAAGGTGTTGACAGGCACAGGAGCACTAACCACAGCTATCTTTCTAGGGATCAGCACAGAGGGATCAGGCAAAACCATCCATCTCCCAGTCTTTCCCTGCAAAGGGTCTCACTGCATACTTTACAAGCTGCTACCTGAGGATTTGGACTATAATTAACATATATCTAGGTGCTCACTGCAATCCCTCCTGGAACCCAAAAGAGCTAGTGGGTCACACTCATGCTCACTCTAATATGAGGTAAGCAGTGTCTCTCTGGAAAGAGCTTCTACACATGTCTGGCACATCAGCCTTTGCACCTACTGCCCAAGGGATGGGCCCCCAGATCACCTGGCTCTGACAGCCAATGGGTTTTGCAGACACAGGGCTATACCAGACAAAGAAGCAGTTTTTAAACAGGCTCAGGAGCAAACTCTATGGCTATACATCCCAGCTCAGTGCAGGAGAAGGCACAAACACCTGTCTCTCACCAGGTGTTTTACCTATCTCCCCAGAAGGGTTTGACTGCATACTTTCCCAGCTGTTGTCTGAGGTCCAACCTCTAATCAACATGCATCTAGGTGCCAACTGCTATCATTCCCCTGGGGACACAGATGGATCTTGGCACACCCCCAACCACGAGGAGCCACAAAGAACAAAGGCAATCATAAAGATCTGAGGGAACCTGGCACTCAGACCAGACTGATTGATGAGAGTCATCTCCTACACAAGACCAGTCTCAAGACTGAGAAAGGTGGCTGCTTTAGCTAATATATAGAAACCAACATAAAGAATCAAAGAAAGTGAAGAAAGAGGAATATGTTCCAAACAAGAGAAAAAGGTAAATTTTCAGAAACTGATCTGACAGAAATAAGTTATTTATCTGATAGAGAGCTCAAAATAACATAAAGATGCTCACCAAGATCAGAAGAGTGATGTATGAACAAAGTGACAATTTCAACAGAGAGAATATCAAAAAGTGCTACAGAAATGACAGAGCTGAAGAATACAATAACTAAAGTGAAAAATTTGATGGAGACACTCATCCACAGACTAGATCAATGGGAAGAAAAGAACAACAAGTTAGAAGATAGGCAATGGAATACACCTAATCAGAGAAGCAAAGAGGAGAAAGAGTGAAGATAGCTTAAGGGACTTATGGGACATCATCAAAAAGAAAAATATTCACATTAAAGAGATCCCAGAAGAAGAGAGAGAGAGGAAGAGGCAAAAGCGAATTTAAAGAAATGCCTCAAAACTGTCCTTATCTGAAAGAAAAAACAAGATGTCCAGATTCAGGTAGCCCAAGAAGTACCAAATAAGATGAATCTAAAGAGATTCATATGCAGACACATTATAATTAAATTATCAAAGGTGACAAAGAAAGCCAGCAAAAGAAAAGCAACTTGTTGCATACAAGAAAATTGTCATAAGTCTATCAGTGGATTTTACAAAAACCATGTAGGCCAGAAGGGAGTGAATAAGATATTCAAAATGCTGAAATAAAAAACATTGTCAGCCAAAGACACTCTATCTAAGAGTTATCCTTCCAAATTAAAGAAGAGATAAAGAATTTTCCAGATGAACAAAAGCTGGAGGACTTCGTCACCACTAGACCAGCCTTACAAGATATGTTAAAAGGAGTTCTTCAGGATGAAATGAAAGAGTGCTAATTAGTTACATTAAAACATGGCAAGGTATAAAACTCACCAGAAAAGGTAAATATATAGTTAAATTCAGAATACTCTAATGTTGTAGTGGTGGTAGGTAAGTCACTTCTATAACTGTAATATAAAAGTTAAAAGACAAAAAAAAAAGTTAAAAGACCAAAGTATTAAGAATTCCCATAATCACAGTAATTTCCTAATGGACACATCAAAAAATGTAAATTACAAGATCAAAACCTTAAAATGTCAGGGGAGAATGTAAAAGTTCAGAAGTTTTCCATACAACCCAAGTTAGGTTGTTATTAGCTTAAAATAGACTGTTATATGGGCACTTGAGTGGCATAGTCAGTTGAGTGTCCAACTCTTGATTTCAGCTCAGGTTGTGATCTCAGAGTCATGAAATCAAGCCCCACATCAGGTTCCATGCTCAGCGATAGTCTGCTTAGGACTCTCCCTCTCTCCCCCTATGTTCCTGTGTGCTCTCTCTCAAAAAAAAAAATAAATAAATAAATAAATAATTTTTTTTTAAAGTAAAAGTAAAATAGACTATTATAACTGTAAGATGTTTTACATAAGCCTCACGATAGTACAAAGCAAAAACCTATAGCAGACACACAAAAGAGAAAGAAATCTAAGCATAGCACCATAGAAAATCATCAAATCATAAAAGAAAACAAAAGAGGAAGAAACAGCAGTTACAAAACAACCAGAAAACAATTAACAAAATGACACAGTAAGGTCCATACTGATCAATAATTACTTTAATGCAAATGCACTAAATTCTTCAATCAAAAGACATATAATAGCTAAACGGATTTCTTTTAAAAAAAGACCCAACTACATGCTGCCTGCAAGAGATTTATTTAAGCTTCAAGTACAGAGACTGAAAATGAAGGGATAGAAAAAATATTCTATGCAAATGAAACCAAAAGAAAGCAGGGGTATACTTATATCAAGTAAAATAGACTTTCAGCCAAAGACTCCAATCAGAGATAAAGAAGGGCATTACATAATGATAAAAAAGTTAATCCAGTGAGAAGATATAACATTTGTAAATATTTATGAACCTAACATAGAAGCAACTAAATATTTAAAGCAAATATTAACAGACATGCAGGGAGAAATAGATAGCACTACAATAACAATAGGGTTGACTACCCTACTCTCAACAATGGATAGATAATAAAGAAAGAAAATCAATACGAAATCATTGCACTTAAACTACACATTAAACCAGATAGATTTAACAGACATTTATAGAACAGTCCATCCAACAGCAGCAAAATACACATTTTGCTCAAGCATACACCTGAAAGCTTCTCCAGGATAGATCGTATGTTACACTGCAAAACTAGTCTTAATTAAAGAAGATTGAAACCTTCTC